ATAGCTCAGAGCTGTGCCCACATTCCTAGACCCCTCCTTCCCTCGGCCACTCTTGCTCAGCAAGCGAGCCGGACTTCCCAAAACACCTGCAGGTCAAGTGACACCTTCTGTCACGCAGCTTCACCCTTTCCTCTTCAAGAGCCTTTGTTTTATACAGACCCACTAACACCCCTTAGCGTTCTCACTGCCTGCCCCCCAGGTATTATGAGATTATATATACATATAGTCTTCTTTTAGGTCTCTTTTTTTTTTTTTGGGGGTTTTTTTTTTGTTCCCCTCCCAAAAACGCTGGTCTGACCTGGTCTTCCCCCCGCGGTGGCCTGTAGACGCATCTCTCCTGTGTTGTATGTCTTCCCTGAGACACACCTGACCATTTTGACACACTACCCTCCCCGTGCCCCTGTCCTGCCAGGTGTGTCCGTGACCGCCTTCACAGGCTCCCATGCCAGAAGAGATGCCCTGCAACCGATACAGGCCTTTTGGGAAGCTCTTGGGATGAGCATGAGTGTTTCAAAACCTGCTAACACAAGCTCCCAGCGTTCTTGCACAGTACTCCCCTCCCCTCCATCCAAGGGTGGCTGTGTGTCCTGTCCTCCAGATACCATATGCTGCCTCTTTATGGTATCAAGAAGTGCCAAGGACGTCGTTTCACATTTGCAGTGTGTGTCCTTCTGCATCGGGAACGGCGTTCAGCCCTTTGAAAAGAGGTCCCTTTTCGCTCCAGCCCCGGGACAGGGCTGCCTTGTCTTCCCTTCCCAACAAGGAGGCTGCAGCGCGGACTCCGGAGAGGGCTTCCAGCAGCAGCAGCGTGCCCGAAGCCAGGAGCTGGCTTTAGGCAGCAGACCAAACAGCTCGGAAAACATTGCCTAACGCAGTTTGGTTAGCAGGTTTGGGGCTGTCCTCTCCTCTCAGCTTCAGCCTGCGTCGAGATTTCCCAACCCAGGTGCTGCCTCACGTGCTCTGCGGGAAGGCAGTGCCATTTGTACTGCAGCTCCCCCGATATTTTTGGAGTCACGGAAGCCAGCTGTCACTGACCTTGGACAAACAGCCGCTCTTCCTGCTTTGTCCGCAAGAGTAATGCTTCCCTGAAGGGCTCTGCTCGCTCGGCAGCCGAAGTGAACATTTCTGGGGATGGTTTGCTCCTACCTCTTCGGGGGAACCCTGCAGACACGTGTTCCAAAGAGATCGGGGCTGTCGGCTGCCGCCAAAGGACAGAGAAAGCCGCTCCCCTCCCAGCAGCGGCCATTCAGCATCCTACCGTGTACAGTATTTTCTCCGATGTTTCTTTCCATTCTAATCAAGAGTAAGAGCTTTTTCTTTCGATTTGACTCAATGGTACATGAAGGCAGGGCCTCAGGAGGAGCTGGTTCCCGGGGCCGTTGTTTTGGGCTGAAGTTTTTAATTCTTGAAGTTAATACTGCTTTTTTTACGACGCGCACAGCGTTCCCCGGCACGCTCACTGCAGTGTGTCCTGTGAAGTTTAGCTGCAGCCGACTCAGATCTCCAGGCAGGAGCCCACAAGCTTCTGGAGGTCTGTCCAGGTACATGTTTCACTGCAAATAATGAAGTGTTGCTACAGCGATGCTAAAGAAACAAAGGGCTTTTCCTCATTAGCCCCAAATAACCAAGTGCCTTTTTATATATGTGGCTACATTTTACAAGATGAGTGCTTTCTGTGGAATGAAGCCAGTTTCGTGCCTGGCGTGTTAATACGATGGCCCTCTGCCTTTCTTTTTTTTTTTAACTACTTGTAAAGATAATATCTCCTTAAGGTGGTATTTTATCTCGTAAGTTGTAGAGTAACCATTCACACGGCAGCATTTTCCTATATTAATAATGGAAAATACTTGCTTATTTTTACATTTTTTATAAAAGTCTTTTATGAAAATAGTTGCTGCAAAATGTATAAGCAATTTTTATCCCCAGAATAAAGAGTATGTGCCCAACGTCTGCGTGCTGCTGTTTTTCACTCGTCTTCCCGGCTATCGTCTTTTTTTTTTTAACTACTTGTAAAGATAATATCTCCTTAAGGTGGTATTTTATCTCGTAAGTTGTAGAGTAACCATTCACACGGCAGCATTTTCCTATATTAATAATGGAAAATACTTGCTTATTTTTACATTTTTTATAAAAGTCTTTTATGAAAATAGTTGCTGCAAAATGTATAAGCAATTTTTATCCCCAGAATAAAGAGTATGTGCCCAACGTCTGCGTGCTGCTGTTTTTCACTCGTCTTCCCGGCTATCGCGGCACAGCCACTGGGCTATAAAGGAATCACTGGTGACCAGTAGCTGTTCAGACCCTTGGCAAGGGAGGGCTCGTTAGGACCTGCACAGTCCATGTCAGGAGAGAGCTTTTGGGGGATCAAGAGCGCCCTGTGCTGTGGCTCAGCAGCGCACGAGCCCCACCACTTGGCTCCATCCAAGGGAGCTCTGCCTGGGGGTAGCAGGAGGATTCTGGGTCTCTTGGTTAGCTGAGAAGGGGGGCCAGTAACCAGCAGCCAAGCAGCTGGGCATACTGGGAAGGACATGGGAAGGGCAGGTGGGGCCTTTTTGAGATGCTTTGAATAAGAGCTCTTACTTGCCTGGGAGGTGGAGAAAGGCTGGGGCTTTTGTGTGGCTTTCAGAAAGTTTGTGAGCAAGCGTGGGTCAGGCGGTGGTTAGTGGGGCTGTGGATTCACTTGCCTTTTCGGATCCTTCTTGCTTCCCTGGGCAACCTTTCTTCCTGCTGGGGGGAAGACTCTCCTCCCTGGAGCTGAGGCTGCCTCCCTGGCTTTGGCTTGGCAGGGAAACAGGGAATCATGGCTCCTCCGTGCTGTTTACAGACTTGAAAAGTTTGATTTGAACAATTACGAGAACAAATTGACAATGGCTGCCTTCCTGTATTTTGAGCAGGGAGGTGCCACTGAAGCCTTGGGCTTCTCTAGGGCTCCCCTGGCCGGTTTCCAGCTCTGACTGCGGGCTGGGATAGAGCCGGTAGCTGAATTGTAGTGCCCAGCAGGGATAGAGCTGCTGGGGGTATTTTAAGGGTTTAATATTGAAACAGCGCAGCTCCTTTATCTTCTAGTGGAGCCAGCTTGGCGAGTACAAAGCTCCAGGAGGCTTTCATCCATGTTCTCCCACAAGTTGCACATCTGTGCCAAAGTGTAGCCAGCTCTGCCGTGTCTCTGGCACACCGACGTTGAGTTTGCTGGTGCTCAGGCCGAGACTTGAAGCTGCATCTCCCTGGGGATGACACAAGCCTCTCCTCCTGCCCGGGATGACGAGGAGCTTGTGAGAACTTGTTGTGCTGCATCCAAATAAGCCTAATTGAACCAGCCAGGCAGGGAGCTGGGGGTATCCCTTATCTAACCAAGCAGTAATGGAGCAGCCTCAGGCTCCTTTGGGGAACATTTTCGTGGTTTTTCATAAAACAAGGGTGGAGTCCTGTCTTCTGGGTGGCACGGTTTGCTGTTTGAAGATACTGCCCATTAGTAAGAGTGGCTGAGCTCACCTCTAAGGTTCTTTCTTTCAGGACAGATGGCAGCAGGCAGCAACTGTATTTGAACATGAGAAAGCTTCACCCCTTTGGTCCTGGAGGGTGCCTAGCAAGCTGGCTGAGCCTTGAGAGGTCTTGGGAAGCAGCAGCAGCTGTATCCTGGCTGTGTGGGTGAAGGAGATGGGTCTGATCCTCCTCCCTGCCTGGGGCGAAAGCCATACCTGCCTCTACACGCTGGTGGGGAGCTGCTCCCTGTGGGTGTAGCAGCACCCGCTGCACGTTCCAGCAAATGCCGCCGCCAAGGAGCCGTGGGAGATCCCGGGGAGCTGGAGGACATGGCTTGAGCCTGACATTCAGAAGTAACAGCTTAAGCCAACTATAAGCCTGCTGTGTGGGAGGTGAGGGGCTTAGCTCTGGGGCTGGATCCTCTGCAGATTGCTTTCTTGTAGGCAGTTCCCAGTGGCCTCCTCCGAGGGTCTTCAAGAGAAGTGGAGGAAGAAGAGCCAGGCATTGGCTGTAGCTGGCAGCAGCAGGACACCGGGCAGGAGCTGGCAGCTTTGCAGGAGGCCACAGGACAGGCAGCAGGAAGAGCTTTGAAAGCTGCTTTGGTGTGTTAGGAGCCAACAAAGTGATGCTCCAGGACAGCATGGTCGAAGCAGTAGGGTCAATGAGCTTCAGCTGTCTCCCAGCAGTGCAAGAGGACACCCCAGGGTGAGGAGCAAGGACCAATACAGAGAAGACCATGCCTAACCATGCCAAAGGGCTCTGGCTGCTGGGGCTGGGGGCTCCACGCCAGCAGCAGCCTCCCCTGGGCCAGGGCTGTGGGTTCCCCATACGGGGCAGGGGGGCAGTGAGGGGCGGCTGCTGCAGGACCTGCCCCTTCCTCCTGGAGGGATGCAGACTGACGAAGCCCCGTGTCACTTGCCGGATGTGGGGGCCCAGCAGCCCCACCGCTATCTGATGGCACCTGCCGGCTCCCGGCCGCAAGCTGTTTCCGTATCCCCGGGTCCTGCAACCTACTGCAAACATCCCCAGGCAGTTCAAACAAGGGCGGTGTGCCAATGACGCATGGCGGAGCAGGGCATGGGACCCAGCTGGGTGCCATCCCTCAGCTGGGGGACACGGGTGATGCCGGCAGGTGACACCCCACAGCCCAGTCGCTGGCCGCAGGGATGCTCCAGCCAGGACTGGGACAGCCTTCCCTGGGGCTCACCCCTGCCAGCCCCGGGCTCAGCCATGGCTGGGCCAGTGGGCATCCCTGCCTGGTGCCATGCTGCTCTCTGCCACAAGGTTATCTCTGCATTTACGTTAGTAATTAATACTAGTTGCAGGGGTTTTATTGACCAACTAGGAGAGGTTCTTCCTGTCTTTTCGGCAAGAACGTTGTATGTAAACAGAGCAGAGATCTGGGCAGCTTTCCAGCGACGTAGGGGGTATGAAGGGGAGTCAGCAGTAAGATTTTTATGGTGGGATCACCTGAGCTGGGCAAACACTGATGCTGGTGAGCACCGGGCTATAAAGGGCAGCTCCTCTCCTTTCTTCTCCCAGTGACCCACGAGAAGCCGTTACTCCTCCCAGTCCCTGGACAGAGGTAAGGAAGGGGACCCTTGTGGGGTGGGCTGAGGCCTCAACATGCTCCAAGGTGGCTTGTGGGCAAGCAGGAGCAGGTGCCAGCCCTGGCAGCTCCCAGGGAAGATGAGCACGGGATGGGGCAGGCTGCAACGATGCAATTTCCAGTCCTGCATTGACTTTTGTCGCTGCTTCTTTGAGGGGAAGATGAGCTGAGTCTGCAAATCAGCCCCGGTGCCCGGGGATTAGCCCAGATAAAGGGGAACTGCGCTGATGTGGCCCATGTGTCTCCCTGGCCTGGCCCTGGCAGCACTACCAGCTCACGGGGGGAAAACGATGCTGTGCACGTAGTCCCTGCATCCCCACTGGCCCTGGCTCTGCCTGTGCCATTGCTGCTGCTGCCCGATGCCAGGGCAGGGCTGGGGTCCCCCAACTTGTGCCCATGGCAGCGCTCTCTCCATGCCACCACGGAGCAGCTTGGCTCACCGAGATGCCTCCCACCGAGACTGGGACTGGTGGGGAAGGGAGTCCCTGCTGCCAGTGTGGGCTGGGGACCTCGAGCTGTGCCTGGGTGCGGGGGTGTGGGCACGGGGCAGTGACCTGTGCCAGGGAGGGGAGAGAATGGCACAACCCCCGGGGCTGCCATCTCCTCCAGCTGGCTAAAAGGGGCCAGATTTAGCCCACAGCAGGGCAGGTTTGCACCCTCTGGGCACAGGCAGCATCCCCTGTCCCCGAGGGACCTGATGTGACCCCCTCGAGCTCTTACAGGGGACACATCCAGAAGCAAGGAAGATGGTGTCAGCAGCTGGACTTGCTCTCCTGTTGCTGGGCTGTGTGGGGCTCCTGTGGCCGGCTGGTGAGTCCCACCACTCCAGGGGCAGCTGCTTTTGCAGCGAGCCTGGGAGGGAGCCAGGCTCCTCTCCATCCAGCAGTGCTGGCTGTCCCCCATCCCTCTCCACGTCTTTCCCTCCGCAGGTGCCCGGCACATAGACTACTGCCCCAAGGGCTGGTCCTACTACAAATTCAGCTGCTTCAGGTACTTCAGTGACCCCCAGACCTGGGACGAAGCTGAGGTAAGCCTGCTGGGGTACACACATGGCCAGGGACCCCCATCTGAGTGTGACCAGCAGGTTGAGAGAGGTTATCCTGCCCCTCTACTCTGCCCTGGTGAGGCCCCATCTGGAGTACTGTGTCCAGTTCTGGGCTCCCCAGTTCAAGAAGGACAGGGAACTACTGGAAAGGGTACAGCAGAGGGCTACAAAGATGATTTGGGGCCTGGAGCATCTCCCTTATGAGGAGAGGCTGAGGGACTTGGGCCTTTTTAGTCTAGAGAAGAGAAGGCTGAGCATGATCTGATCAATGCTTATAAATACTTAGAGGGAGGGTGTCAAGAGGATGGGGCCAGTCTTTTTTCAGGGGTGCCCAGGGACAGGACAAGAGGAAATGGGCACGTACTTGAATATAAGAAGTTCCACCTAAACATGAGGAGGAACTTCTTTCCTTTGAGGCAGGCAGAGCCCTGGAACAGGCTGCCCAGGGAGTTGGTGGAGTCTCTATTTCTGAAGACATTCAAAACCCGCCTGGACATGTTCCTGTGCAACCTGCTCTGGGTGGACCTGCTTTGGCAGGGGGGTTGGACTAGATGATGTCCAGAGGTCCCTTCCAACCCCATGTGATTCTGTGATCTCCTGGGGGTGCCCTGGCACTGATGGCTCTCCCCACAGAGGCAGTGCCAGGCCAGCCATGCCAGTGCCCACCTGGCCTGGGTGGAGGAGCCCCGGGAGGCAGCCACCTTGCAGAAGGTCATCTCCTACTACCAGCGTGCACAGCCCGTCTGGGTCGGCCTCCACTACAGACATGAGGTGAGATGGGAGGCAGCAGGGGGTGGCAGGGGGCCAGGAGGGAGCGGAGTCACACCTCTGACCCCCCTCTCCCTGCACAGAGCCAAACCTGGCAGTGGGCAAGTGGGCACAAGTACAGCATCAACAGTGGGCTGACGGGGAACGGTGCTCAAGGGGGGACCTGCGGCGTGTTGACCCATCTCAGCAGTGAGTGCCCAGACCCTGCATCTAGCTCCATCACTCTGTCTCAGCTGACACCCCCCCACACGCACCTCCTCATCCTCCTCACCCAGACTGCAGCAGGCAAGGCTGATGCCTCTGTCCTCACTCTGGCTCCCACTGACCCCCATCTCTCCTCTCTCTCCGGCAGGCTTCACCGTGTGGTCCAGCGCTGACTGTGCCCAGCAGCACCACTACATCTGCAAGTTTATCCCCTCACATTGAGCCTGGCCCGCGGGGGATCCCATGGAGGACCCCATGCTGGCGGTGTTCCTTCCTTGCCACCCCTGCTTCTCTCTCCCCAACTCCTAAAAATACATCTATAAAAAACCCAAGCATGTCAGTGCTGTGTGAGTCTGGTGCTGATGCAATGCCCTGGTACAGTCTACCCACAGGCGTCTGGGTGAGGGAGCAGCAGGGGCTGATGTGGCTCCCAGAGCTTCCCAGCTGCCGGGGGCTTCCGTGCTGCCGGTGCCGGCAGAGCCATTTGGGTGTGAGTCCCTGGGAGCCACGGGGCCAGCAGCTCTCCTGGCTAGGTGCTCATGTTTGCTCCTCCTCAACCCTCTGGTGCTGAATGGGGGGGGTGGACGGGATGTCCCTGGGCTGCAGGTGTAGGGGACAGGAATGTCCCCAAGGTGCAGGCATGGAGGAGAGTGGGTGGGGATGGGAGCTGTCATGGGTGTGCAGGTGGGTGCCTCCCCCAGGTGCAATTAGCTCGATGGGGGTCTGTGATGCTGCCCCATGGCCATGTTGACCGCAGCACCAGGACCAAAGGTCCCTTCTTGTGTCACCGCAGTGTTGCCACAGGCATCACGTGTCTGTTTGCTCTGCTGTTTTGAAGATGGGTCTGCCCGCCCCCAGCTCATGGGTTTTTTCCTCCCTCTGGAGTCATGGCACGTGATGGAGGTGGACCGCGTCCTGGGTGGCACGGGTGGTGCTGGCACCAAGCCCCCCAGCTGCCCTCTGCTCCCTTCCTGGGACCGTGGAGGCAGTCAGGGAGGCCACACAGCACCTCGTGGGCTGCATGGTGACTACAGCTGTGCCAGCAAGGCACGGACACCAGACCTGCCACCACCCTGTGGCACAGGGAGCCTGAGCCCATCACACTGCTCAGCCCTGGCTCCAGCTGAGTGTGTCCCCGGGCTTTAGGGCACAAGACAGAGATGTCTTGCAAGTCCCCCCCCTCCAAAGCCAGTACTTGCTCCGCTGTCCCTGTCGTGTTGGCTGGAGCTCGGTGACCTTTGAGCACTGGGGTCCGGCATGCTGATAAGGGCTGGGAGGGCTGTGCTATGCTGCCCGCACAGTTTATAAAAGCACCAGGCCCGTCCCACTGTCCGTCTGTCTGTCCTGCTGTCTGTCCCTCTGTTTGTGCAGCGGCTGGGGCGAAGATGCTGCGCTTGGTCAGCCGTGCTGCGCGCTGCTGGGGGGCGAGGAGGTTACCACCGGGGCCAGAGCAGGCACCCTGGGGGTTCCAACACCCCATGGCTTTGCAGAGGGCATGGTGAGCACCCACGCGGATCGGGTTGGGTGAAGGCATAGCCAGGGGGGAGTCGGGGAGCTGGTAGTGCTTTTGAGCCTTGCTGGGGAAGGGGATGCTCTCCCTCCTCCCCTCAGCACCACTGGGCACTGGGAACCAGGAGGGATTTGGGGTGCTCACAGCCTGAGCTTGCTCGCTGGTGGCATCTCCCTATGGCCGCCACCTGTCCTGAGGCTCAGGACCACCATGGGACTATTGCTGCTCCCTCTGCCCCACAGCCTCTCCAGTGCTGCTGGGACGGGCACCTGGCCCAAGGACGTGGGCATCCTGGCACTGGAGGTGTACTTCCCCGCCCAGTACGTGGAGCAGGAGGAGCTGGAGCGGTATGATGGTGTGGAGGCCGGCAAATACACACGGGGCTTGGGCCAGAAGCAGATGGGCTTCTGCGCCGCCCACGAGGACATCAACTCCTTGTGCCTGACGGTGGTGCAGCGGCTGGTGGAGCGTGGGCGCCTCTCCTGGGACTCCATCGGCCGCCTGGAGGTGGGCACCGAGACCGTCATTGACAAGTCTAAGGCCGTCAAGACCGTCCTCATGCAGCTCTTCCATGACTCGGGCAACACTGACGTGGAGGGCATCGACACCACCAATGCCTGCTACGGGGGCACGGCCTCGCTCTTCAACGCAGCCGCCTGGGTGGAGTCCAGCGCCTGGGATGGTGTGTGTGGGCAGGGACCGTGCCGTGGGGATGGCGGGGCTGGATGTTGGGTGGGTGCCATGGGATGAGGGAAGGAGACAGGAGGTGGCCTGAAGCCCAAAGATGCTCTGGCAAGTCTCAAAGGGAGCTGCTGACCCTCCAGGCTCTCCATTACCCCTGTTTCTTGCCTGCCTTGGCTGTGACACCTGGCAGCGTGGGGATGGGAGTGCACAAGGGCCATGGGATGGATGCTCCCACCCACTGACGGCACCGCTGACCACTTTGTCCTCCCCCAGGTCGCTATGCTGTGGTGGTGTGTGGGGACATCGCTGTCTACGCCACAGGGAACGCACGGCCCACGGGGGGTGCTGGTGCCATCGCAATGCTAGTGGGACCCAATGCCCCGCTGGTACTGGAGAGAGGTTGGTGTCATGAGACCTTGGGGGTGGCGAGCTGGTGGGTGCTGTCCCTGGAGGCCATACATCCATGTCCCAGCCCGACAGAGCTGCTCAGTGATGGCAGCACTGGCTCTGCCAGCCCCAGTGGCTGCTTGGTGCTGAGTACCCCAAGATCCAGGCCCGGCCACATCCCTGTGGGCACCACAGAGTGACCCAAGGAGGCTGGCAAATGCTGGGGCTGGCATGGCATGGCATGGCAGCACCCATGGGTGCTTACCATCCAGATGGGACTCCCCCCACACCCAGCTCTCCCTGTACTCCCAGGCCTGCGAGGCACCCACATGGAGCATGCCTATGACTTCTACAAGCCGGACCTGTCCTCTGAGTACCCGGTGGTGGACGGGCAGCTCTCCATCCAGTGCTACCTGCGGGCGCTGGACCGCTGCTACGCCGTGTACCGTCGCAAGGCAGAGAGCCAGTGGAAGCAGGGTAAGCAGCAGCACCCCTGGGGTCCCCATGCCATCCCACCGGATGCTGACAGCCCCACATTGCCTTCCAGCTGGCATCCAGAGGCCCTTCACCCTTGATGACTTCAAGTACATCATCTTCCACACGCCCTTCTGCAAGCTGGTGCAGAAGTCAGTGGGGCGGCTGCTGCTGAATGACTTCTTGGCCACCCCCAACCCCGACACAGCTGCCGGCCTCTACAAGGGACTGCAGTCCTTCCGGTGGGTCCCCGCACCGTGTCCCCTGTCCCCCAGCCTGGCCGGGGACGTGACTGTGTGGGTTTGAGCCAGCCTCTCTCTGGGCAGTGGCGTGAAGCTGGAGGACACCTACACCAGCAAAGAGGTGGAGAAGGCTTTCCAGGCTGCCAGCCAAGAGATCTTCAACCAGAAGACCAAGCCTTCCCTGCTCCTCTCCTCCCGCAATGGCAACATGTACACGCCGTCCATGTATGGCTGCCTGGCCTCCCTCCTGGCACAGTGAGTCCCCCCAAATCTGACTCGGGGTGGGGGGCAGTTTGTTTTGGGGAGGACAGGCTCCAGCGCTCAGCCCCTTTCACTGCAGCAGAGATCCAATGCTTTTATTGCACATAACCCCATGGATGTTCACACCCCACCCCACACAGTTCCCCATCCAACCTTTTCATCCCAGTTTGCTGGAGCTGGGTCGATGCATAAAGCCCTTCTGTCAGTGCCAGGAGGATGAAAACCCCCTTGTGCCCAGCAGAATGGCTGTCTCCTCCCACCAGCAGTGGCAAAGGAGCCATGGGAACAGCCAGGCATGGGGAGGAGACAAAAGCCTCATCCCACCACCCCTCCTTGGGCAGCCCTGGGTCGATGCATAAAGCCCTTCTGTCAGTGCCAGGAGGATGAAAACCCCCTTGTGCCCAGCAGAATGGCTGTCTCCTCCCACCAGCAGTGGCAAAGGAGCCATGGGAACAGCCAGGCATGGGGAGGAGACAAAAGCCTCATCCCACCAACCCTCCTTGGGCAGCCCTGGTGCTCCCCAGCTCCAAGCCCTCTCCAAAGGAATCCCCTTGCTCTGTGGCCACCTGCTCTTGGCAGTGTGGCCACAAGTTGCCATTTAATTCAGCCCCAAATCCCAGGACCCCCCTGACTGTGAAGGGGGCAGGAGGCAGCCCCTTACACTGCCCCTACAGCCCTGCATCCACCCCCAAGCCCCTGATCCCCACTAACCCCTCACTGCAGGTCCTCGGCGCGGGACCTGGCAGGCTCCCGGATCGGTGCCTTCTCCTACGGCTCGGGGCTGGCCGCCAGCATGTTCTCCCTCCGCGTCTCGCAGGATGCATCCCCAGGTGAGCCCCATGGGAGAGGGGGGCCGGGAGGGAAGGGCAGCGTGGGGCTTGTGGGGCTAGGGCCACTGGCAGTGCTGTCTCACCCCGGGGGTCCCCACATACCCAGGTTCGCCCCTGGATAAGCTGGTCTCCAGCCTGGCTGACCTGCCAGCTCGCCTGGATGCCCGCAAGCGTGTGGCCCCACAGGACTTTGCTGAGATCATGAAGCGGCGGGAGGAGACCCATCACTTGGGTGAGTGGGGCTGGGGGGTCACAGCACCTCCCCACTGGTGCCCCACGGCCCTACTGAGCATCACCACCCTCTCCCCACAGCCGACCATGCTCCCCACGGTTCCCAGGCAGATCTCTTTCCTGGCACCTGGTACCTGACGCGAGTGGATGCCAAGTACCGTCGGGAATATGCCAGGAAGCCCATCTAGGGGGGACCGGAGTGGTGAGCCCCAGGGAGGGGGATGCTTTCCTCCCCACCAGCATCCCTGCTCACCCCCAAATCTGGAGCTGGCCTCTGCAGGAGACCTCACCTTGGATGGCTGAGAAGCAGCTGGCAGCAACTCAGGCCCTGGAGCTGGTGGAGATGGCAGTGCTTTCTGCAAGCACCCGGGTGGCATGGGGGAATAAACACACGGATGAGAGGGGGCAGCAGCCCGGCTCTGGCTCCTGGTCACGAGTGGTCCTCTCCCACCCCAGGGCCCTTCCCTCAGCCACCACAGGGCTGGATAGTGGTCTCTTGCAGGATTTATTCCGTGGGCACCCAACGCAACCGCCTGCCCTGTTGGACACGTGCCTCAATATCCCCCATTTCCCCAGGATGGGAGTGCGCCCTGATGTTTTGGGGGGAGCCAAGTAAACCCCAGATCCTCTGTCTCCAGTTTGGGGGTGATAAGATGCTGTTTTCCCTGTGATGCTGGCAAATTGAAACATCCCTGTGGAAAAATCCATGAGGGAGGAGCAGGCAGGCGATTCCAGGGCTCATGGGAGGGCTCAGCCCCCCTTGGAACGCTGCCTGCTCTCTGGGCCGAGCCCCAGCACAGGACCATGGCCGGACAGGACCTTGGTGGGGCCACAGCAGCTATGAAGACCTTTGCACCCTTGAGCAAACAGCAGCGGGGGGGCATGGGGGGAGCTGGCAGGAGGAAGGGGGGACAGGACCTGTAGGAGCTTTGGGGTCAGGGGACAAGGAACCACCCAGAAAAGGCATCAGACACTCTCTCCTGCTGGACCCTTTATTGAGCATGGGGCCACCCCAAGCCCAGCGTGGGGGCCAGGTGGGGCCAGATGCAATGCTCCCCCAGCTTGGGGGGGGTGCGGGTCCAGGTCCTGCGGCTGTTGGGAGAGTCCTTGCCGGCGCTTGGGGACTAGAGGTGGAGCTGGAAGACCTCCGTGACGCGTGGCTTCAGCTCGCCAAGGTCGGACAGGGGGGCCGAGAGCCCCACGATGCTCCACTGCTCCCCCGCCACAATGGCAGAGCTGTGGTAGGACTGGAGCTGGACCCCCACCTTCCCCAGCATCCCTGGAGAGGAGGAGAGGGGTGAGGGGCTGCAGGCTGTCCCACCACCCCAGCACTCAGCAACCCATCCCTGTCTCTCCATAACACCTGCCCCTTCCCTGCTGCATCCAGGGTGGATGCAGGGTCCCCCCAGGCTGCCCCCTCTACTCAGGGGTGACATGGTGGTCTCACCAGCAAGCGTGGGCAGCGTGCTGGGCTCGGAGGCTTTGGCTCTGTAGATGAGGACAGGGCCGGCCAGCGGGGCCGGCTGCTTGAAGGTGGCCCCATTGAGCTCCCGCAGGACAGGAGTGCTGCCCTGCACCGTTCCCGTTGCCCGGTGAGGGGTGCCCTGCAGGGCCACCTGCAGCAAGCCGGTGCTGCCATCGGGCTCGGGGGCCACGTCGTTGTGGGTGGTCGTGACCTGCCAGAAAGATGTGGATGCTCAGCACCCAGGTGCTGCACATGGCAGGGCACAAAGAAGGGATGTCCTCAGAAACCACCCCAGGGGATGCCCCTCAGCCTGAGAAGTGCATTAGCAGCCCCATGGGGTGACGCTGGGCTCATGCTGCTTGGCAGGGAAGGACAAGGTCTGGGTGCTCTCGGCTGACATGTGGAGCCCCGGTTGTCCACACACCTTCAGCCCAGCCTCCTGGGCCAGCAACTGGGCATTCACCAGGGTCACCTCCTTCTGTGTCCCTCCAGCCAGCATGCCCGCAGCCACGGCAGGCGTTAGGTAGTTCCCAGCCTCCCGCAGAGGTGTTCCTGGGGTGGAGGGGCCAGCAGCAGAGAGATCAACCCCATGCTGGAGCAGCCAGCCTGAGGTTCGTCCTTCCACCCACCCAACCATTCACCCAACCCTACACCCAACCTCCCTCCCATCCATGCACCCATCCGTATACCTATCCGTACCCCCACCGTCCCTGTCCTCCCACCATCTTCCCACCCTTCCAGCCACTCTCCCACCCACCCATCCCTCCACCTGGCTGTGCACCCATCCCTCCTCCCATCCACTCAGCCCAGTGGGTCCCCACGCTCCCCCGTGTGCTGCCCACCCATCGGGGTCCCTGTGCCCAGCCGTGGGGCACAGCCTGCCTGACTCACCGAGGGTGCAGACCTGAACGCTGCCCTGCACTTTCTTGCCCACTGTGTGCAGCAGCGTGCCCAGGGCCCTAGCCAGGGCTATCCAGGGCTTGGTCTGGGGCGAGAAAGCCTTGCTGAGAGCCTGCCCGTTGACCTGCAAGGAAGAGCAGGACGTGCAATGGGAACTCACCAGCGATAACACAGGGTCGCTCCCAATGCACCCACACTTTACAGACAGGGAAACTGAGGCACAGAGGTCAGGTGCCTGGCGGAGGGACTCACTATGCCAGCCAGCCCCTTCCCCGTGGCCATGTCCACGATCTGCATGGCGATCTCCTTGCCGCAGCGGCTCTGCGCCTCCTGTGTGCTGGCACCCAGGTGCGGGCAGCTGATGACGTTGGGGTGGTTCACCAGGTCACGGTCCTTTGGGGGCTCCTGTTGACACAGCCCCGTCCCACTGTCACCCTCCAGCACCCACCTGGGAGCCTGGGGGGACATTTACACCCTCTTCCCTTGCAAGGGGGGGATCTGAGGAGGGTTGTCCCCAGCTCTGTGGGGTTTGCAGGGCTGCCCTGGTGGTGCCGAGCCAAAGCCAAGCTCGGGGGGTTCCCTGCAGCCCCCCTCACCTGTGTGAAGACATCAAGGGCGGCCCCACCACACTGCCCTGACTGCAGCGCCCGCAGCAGGGCACCCTCGTCCACGATGCCACCGCGGGCACAGTTCACCACCTGCACGCCACGGCGGCACTTGGCGAAGGTGCTGTCGTTCAGGAGCCCTACGGGAGGGAGGGAGCATCATGAGTGGTGGGGGGCTGCCCCCGCTTCCCCCAAGCTCCCCCACACCGATGCCCACCCCGTACCAGTGGTGGAGGGCAGCAGCGGTGTGTGCACTGTGATGAAGTCGCAACGGGGCCAGATCTGCTCCAGTGGCAGCTGCTCCACACCGAAGGTGGCCGAGACTTCAGGGGTGATGATGGGGTCATAGCCTATGGTCTGAGGCAGAGTGGGTGCTCACCTCTGCAGTGCTGATGGCCGGGCCAGGGGGGTGCATGCTCCCCATTGCTCCTCCCTGCCCCAGCTCCTTACCTTCATGCCAAAAGCCTGCATGCGGATCGCCACCTCCCTGCCGATGCGCCCCAGCCCCAGCACGCCCAGTGTCTTCCCGTTCAGCTCCATGCCCATGTACTAGGGTGCAAAGTGGAGAGTGAGCAAGTGCACCCCGCACGGGCACCCACAGCCTTGTCCTGCCCAGGGCACTGCAACCCGCCTCCTACCTTCTTACGGTCCCATTTGCCCTCCTTCATGGAGGCAGCTGCCTGCGGGATTTGCCTGAAAGGGGAGGTTGCGATCAACGTGCGGGCAGGGGCCGTGGGGCTCACCTCCATCCCCACGTCCTGACCCACGCTCACCTGGCCAAGGACAGGATCATCCCACAGGTGAGCTCAGCGGCACTGAGGCTGTTCCCAGTGGGTGTGCTGGGGATGGAGAATGGTGTCACTGGTGTGTCACCCCCAGACTGCTGGAGGTCTGCACGCCATGAGGACAGAGACCCACAGGGTGGGGAAGACACCCTGCTGAAGCCACCCCTGTGGAGCACAGACAGGGATGTCCCTATCACCCTGCTGAAGCCACCCCTGTGGAGCACACAGGCAGGGATGTCCCCACGCTCCTGCTCTTACTTCATGACCAGGACACCCTTCCTGGTGGCTGCTTCCACATCGACGTTGTCCACGCCGGTGCCCGCTCTGCCCACCACCTGCAGTCTCTCCGCCGCCTCCAGCACATCGGCTGTGACTTTGGTGGCTGAGCGGACAATGAGCCCATCGCAGTCCTGGGGGGAGACAGACACCGCAGGTGGGCCCGGGCTGGTGGTCCCGAGGAGGGGGGTGGCGGTGGTGAAGGGTTGGGGACAGCCGCTGCGAGGGGCTGGGATCCACCGTGTGAAACCGGCCGGGCTCTTGCATCAGACGGAAGGCGGGGACCGGCCCCGCTGGGCGAGGGGGCTCCGCTGCCACCCCGGGACCAGCCGGCGCCGAGCTGCGGCCACCCACGCCCCCCCCCACCCGTGGGGGTGCATCCCGGCCGCGCTCACCCGAATCTCCCGCAGCAGCTCTTCCTTGCTCAGGCCGGGTTTCTCCTGCACCCGGAGGCCGCCGGCCTGCAGGATCTCCCGGCAGCAGGGGTCCAGGCTGTCGCTGATCAGCACTTTCTGCAGTTTCCCGAGCGCCATGGCGGGGGACGGGACGGGACCGGACGGGACGGGACGGGGTACCAGCTCTCTCCGCACGCCGCCGAGAGGCTGCTGCCGCCCGCCCGCCGACCTAAAAGGGCTGCGAGCGGGGCACGTTTTTCGGGCTCATTGGGTCCCGTCTCCATA